GCCGACAGTAAAGGAATAAGGGCAATAGCACACAACATGGTGACATAGATGAATTATGAATTATGGTATATTTCAGAATCAGAAAGCTTAAAAATTCATTTTCTAAAATTCAGAAGTTTAATATGGTAATTATATTTTCTTCAAAAAGAGTTAAGGATAGGTCTTTCAAGGAAGTAGGGGAAGCAAAGAAGCGACGGCAGCCTTAGGCAAGCACATGTAGTTTGAATCATTGTTTTGGTTTTGTTGTATCATGATATTCAGTATCTTTTAAAATGGAAAGGACTATTAAACACATGAGAAGTTACTTTACTTCACAAGAGAGCATAGTCACCAAAGTTTGACCAAAACAGATCTAAGTGATTGATAATCTAAGTCAGGAAATTCAGAGCGAAGAATTAACTATTTGCTTTTCTTTTCATCCCTCCATCATTTTCTCCTAAGTGGTCATATTAATTACACAGATATCAACATACTTAAGATTGATCATATGACCCCCTATGCAATGTGTGGTTGGTGCAAATGATTAATACTTCAGGAGAAGTATTAATCCTTCCCCCAAATCAGCCACTAAAACCCTTATGGAGTGCCGTTCCATTCTCATACACTTAAGGTTGTCATGAGTCTGCATCCACTGCAGCAACTGGTTAAGAGAAACTAATGTAGAGTTCTTGAGCAGGCGTGTAGAAGGGGTTATGATATGATGTTAAGGAATGGAGAAGCATGAATTAGGAAGGTTTTGACAAAAACATTAAGAAAATATTTTACATGGAAGATGTTGACAGGAAATAATGAACTTTCTTTTGGAGCAAAAACTGCATATCTGGCAACAAAATGAATTGTTTCTTATTATTAAAAAGAAATGTGGGTGACTTCTGAGTCATTCAAAATAATTTTAGTGTGTCTTGAATTTTAAATGTTCAAAATATTTTAATTTGCCTTCTGGCTTTTATTATCAAATAGATTTTTATTCAAATTATTTTTGTTTTCACATTAAAAGTTTAGATGAACCACTCAGGACCAGGGGTGACAGTGGCGATACCAGGAGGGAAGGGGGGTGTAGAAAGGGGGAATTGATCACAGAGAGCTACATATAACCTCCTCTCTGGGGGATGGGCAACAGAGGGGTAGGTAAAGGGAGATGCCGGGCAGTGTAATATAAGATATAATAATAATTTATAAATTATCA